GTTGGCAGATAAAGACATGACCCTGGAGTCAGAGGAGGTTGGGTTTGAACCTCAGCTCTACCTTTGGTGATTTATTTAATTTCTGTGGTCACTCAGTTTCCTTATCTATGAAATGGAGTGCAGCTTGGAGGATTGGAGAGAATAATTCTATTAACTTTACAGGGCTGTTGTGAGAATTGAATAACACATATGCTTTAGTCAGCTTTTTCCCTGCTGTGACCAGAACAGCTGTAGAGGAGGAAAAATTTATTTGGGTGTTAATGGTTTCAGAGGTCTCAGTCCATAGAAAGTCAGGACCATTCTTGGGGCTCAAAGTGAGGCAGAACATCATTGCAGAAGAGTGGGGTGGAGGGAAGCAGCTCACATGATGATCCAAAAGTAAAGAGAGATTCTTGCCAGATACAAAATATATGTCCCAAAGACATGCCCCCAATGACCCACCTCCTCCAACCATACCCTCCCTGCCTTCAGGTACTGGTAATCCAATTAATCCCATCAGGATTAAATCCCAATATTTCTCCTCTAAACCTTCTTGCATTATCTCACACATGAGCTTTTGGGGGACACATAACATCAAAACCATAACAACATATAAGGCATCCAGCAGGTGGTCCCACACATAGTAAATGGTCAATATATATTGATGATGATGATTAAGATGACAGCAGAGAAGATGACGATTGCATCAAGGATCTCCAAGACCATCCTCAGAGTCAATAATTTAGCAGAATGACACACAGAACTGAGAAAAGCTGTTACAAGCACAGTTGTGGTTGATTACAGTGAAAGGATACAGATTAACATTAGCCAAGGGAAAAGGTACATAAGGCAAAGTCCAGCAGGAACCAGATACTAGAATTGGAATCACACAAACAGCACTTAATTCTCCTAGCAATACTATGTGTGAAGATGTATGGAGTATTACTAACCAGGGAAGCCTTGGTTTTTATTGAGAGTCAATTATATAGGCAAAGAATTGCCTGCTGGCTGAACTTGTTTGATCACTACTTCTCCAGAGGTCAAAGTGTGTGTCCCAATGCTCTAGACAAGCAGAAGACATTGCTATTAGGCAGGATATTACCAAAGTCTTAGGGTTAGATAACCAACTGCAAGGATCAAGCCTTTTTTCTTTGGAGGATGGGGGAATGTGCAAGGTTTGGACAACTCAGGCCTGCAGACTTAATCTAATACTGCATCATGATGATGATGTTGATGAATCCTGGACTGAGTCAACTAGCAATGTTAGTAGACCATGACACCCATGAAATTGGGCCCAGGACTTATTTTAGAAGCTGACCTTTAACTAAAACTGGAATTGGTCTTGACATTCAAAGTGAATGTATTACTATAATTGTAGCTATCAAGAGTCAACCAGCAGGGCCGGGGTTGTAACTCAGTGGTAGAGCACTTGCCTAGCATGTGTGAGAGGCACTGGGTTTAATCCTCAGCACCACATAAAAACAAATTAATAAAATAAAGATTTCTTTTTAAAAAAAAAAAAGTCAACCAAGGTAGAAAAGGAGAGTAGAAGAAGATAGCACCAAGCAAAAGATGGTGGTAAAGAAGGAAGGGAGGGAGCTCACCAAAGATCAATGCAATGCAATAAGTCCCAGGGCTTCAATTTTGGAGACCAAGAAAGAAAGGTATGTCCTCACCCAAAGGTCTAAGGCATAGGTGGGACTGAAGAAGGGAGGGGTGGCATGAGGATGAGATTGATTTAAGCCCAGAAAGAAAGGTACCCCAAGAGTCCACATCTGGTGAAAAGAATAGGAAGTGGGTTTAGAAGATTAAAAAGTCCCTTTCCTTAGCAGAATCTACCTGATCTGAATCAACCTTAGACTAGACTGAGGAGCTTTGTCCAGTGTCTGACCCAGTCCTGGGAGAACAGGATATAGTTCTAAAAGAACTTAACTGTACAACTCCACAGGAGCAGGTAAGAAGAGACAAAGGGAAGGGAAACCTAGCCCTTCATTTACATTTAAATACACAGACCACAAAGTAAGAATAGAACTTGTAAATGTACAGGATTGTACATTGTAAAGGCAGGATTGAGGTGAATTTATTTTGTCTTTCTTTGTTTGATTTGGTTTGCTTTTTCTTGTTTTGTTTGCAGTGCTTGGGATTCAGTGAAGGGTCCCATGTACTCTATCACTGAATCCCATCTGCGGGATTGTTGTTGTTATTTTTTGTGAAATCATATGAGTAGGAGAAAAGCTTTTGGGAATCTCTATATAACTTTCTGTCATTAGGTGGTTAGTTGGTTTTGTTTTTMACATTTTCTGGGGCTGGAGATATAGCTCAGTGCTTAGCATGTGCAAGGCCCTGGGTTTAATTCCCAAAGGCAAAAAATAAATAAAATATCCTTGTGAATAAAAGTCAACCAACCCWTTAAAGGAAAACATGACAATAGAGAAAGAAAGGAATATGTGTTCTGCTTTGGGGTCAAACCTAAAGGAAAGAATTATCAGCAGAGGAGATAGACATCAGAATCATAAGGAAGAAAGACAAACAAGTCAAATTCTTGCAGCTTGTAGCCCAGGATAGTGAAGAGGGATTGGGACTTAACTAGCCAAATACAGTGCCATGCAAATTATTTGGCTAATGATGCTGACAGCACTGTGGTAACACTGCAAAAAGAGTCTTAGCATAAGCAACACCTCCCAGCTTAGACCCTTTCCATTAAGTCCCTCCCCAAATAATTCATAGAATATATGATTCTCTTTGGAATTCATACCTGGAAAGCAAAGAAGATAGATTACTAATGGAAGTATCCTCTTACTGAGCAACATTAAGTGCAGCAGGGATCATAACACCAACCCACTGTCTTAAATTTTAAGAGTTATCATATGAAAGAAATGACACAGTCCCATTCCCCAGGAAGCAGGAAAATCCTGCCTCCTCCCATCAGAATTTCTCAAAGCTTAAAGATCTGATATAATTTTCCTGGCAAAATATTGCAATGGTATTTGTATTAAGTATTTAATTTGCTTTCTCTCTTAGATCCCAAGAGATGACCCTAAGACATTTAAGCCTTGGTCTATCCCTATAGCATAACCCTGCTGTTATTTCCTGAAAGGTAAGATCAATAAAATGAAAGGTAATCAATCAAAGAGGAAAAATTAGCCAGTCCAGTGGTTCTCAAACTGTGTTCCATGGAACCCTAGGATTGAACAATTGTTCAAGTTAATACATTTTATCCCGTGTCTTAATCCTTTAACACTCAATATGCATGGCTTTTGAATATGAGAATGTTAGGTCAAAGTGCTATAGCCATCAATGAAGTTTTTCTTTTTATTAGAAAATGAGAATGTGGTAGATTAGGACATTTTAAATATTCTACTCCCTGATTTGAGAGTCGCTTGCAGCTTGAATTCAACATGCCAAATTGAAATCTATTGATTTTTTCTGCATTTATAACTAACTAGTGCTATTTGGAAGAATCATCTGTTTATATTCATTTAATTTGACTGCTTCAGTTTTGTGCTGCTGCCTAACACAAAATTCAAAGCACTGAAGGCTGTGGAGAATGACCATAGAGACACTCTGATAAAAAAAAAAAAAAAAAAAAAAAACACATTGTCATTGTTAGAAAATTAAACTTCTGCTTTTCAGCATACTTAATGGGCAACAACAGAAAAACTGAAAGCATCTGGAAGAGAGAGAACTACATCATAAATTCAGAAAAAAAATATTTTTTTCATTTAAGTGTAGTTTTCCAATTAGATATCTGAAATAATCCACAAGTGTTAATATATGTTTAATTCTATTGTGTTTTGTCATGAGAATAACTTGCGTTACTATTTTTACCAAATCAGGCTAAATATCTGGTGAGCATTTGCTACTTCTTTACAATGACAAAAGTCAAAATAGGCAACACTTAAAATCAYATCTTAAAAATTTTTGAAAAATAGTAATTTTAAAACTCAGGGAATCTAAGGCAGAATTATCTAACCTCTTTAATTCTCTCTCTATTTTTCCTTATCCTTCTAAATCCTAAAGTTAAAGTTAATATTATGACACTTCCACTCTAATTTCTATGTAAAACAAGGCACGAGCATGTATAGCACTATGCCTGACAAAGTGAACTCAGCATAGGGTAGTTACACACAGGGATGCACACATGCATGCTCACACAGACACACAGACACACACACACACACACACACACACACACACACTCACACACACATTCAGGTGTGCTAAGTAGCAAACTTTAAATTTTAACAAATTAGATAATACCAGTGAATGAACTGGGTTGTCCAGTTTTTGTGCAAACCTTAAAATATATTAGGTCCATCCTCAAATTGCAAGATGAATTTTAGAAATAAAAATAAGACAAAAACCTCTTACCACTTTCCAATTTAGAATTTTATTATGCTGTACAATCAAAACAAAATCCAGATATGAATTGCATTCTGAGTCTGTTAACTGTCATCTTTTATCTGCAATTTCAAATTTTTTGTGTTCTCCAAGATGGCATAATTGCTCTAATAGATTTGCTTTACTAGCAAGTGTTAAGCATTGACCTTATAAATTTATACCACACTAAAACTACATGTACATGTGTATGTGTCTCTCAGAACATTTTAATCCTCCACTAAAAATCTTTAAAAACTTCTGATCTCAGCCAGGTGAGGTAGCGCACACTTGTAATCCCAGCAAAGGCTGAGGGAAGAGAAGGGCAAGTTCCAAAATGAAAAACAAAGGCCTGAGGATATAGCTCATAGGTCGTGGTAGAATGCCCACTACAACAACATCAACAAATTAAAGAAAGAAAAAAAAAAAACAAGCAAAACCCCCCTGATCTCACCCATCTTCTTTCATGAATGAAGACTCAGATGCCGAGGGAGATTAGGAAAATACTCAACTGTACTTCTTCATAACTGTGTAGTTTACCAATCCAATTTTCAACTACTTATTGTTGTTCTTCCCAAACATAAAAATTGAAGGATCTGTACACTTTGTTTTATAACTATTCTTTTCTCTTTTTTTTCCCCTAGGTGTTACAGTTTTTCAAGTGAAAAGATGTCTTGTTTTGTTTGTTTGTTTGTTTGATGTTTTGTTAATCCTAACTAGAATCCAAACTGATACTTTTATACTGTTGAGAGAGAGAAAAATAGCACAAAATTTATAAACATTCTGATTAATTACTTTGACAAATCATTACTTTAAAATTATTTAATTAGACTCCTCGACTTAGAAGCCACAAGACAAGTTACAAATCAAGATGAAACTAATATTGGAATGCTATGAAATAGCCATAGCAAGCAAATTTAATGCTAATTTGTTTCTGAAAAGATGGTGTAAATATTGCCATGAAAGCTAATTTTCCCCTTCTGCATCCATCCAATCTAACTGGACTGGTCATACCGGTTAAAATCATTGAAAGATACTTCTCAGCAGGGTGTGGTGGTGCACACCTGTAATCCCAACTACTCAGGATGCTGAGGTAAGAGGATTACAAGTTTAAGACCAGCCAGTGAAATTTAGCAAGACCCTGTTTCAAAATACAAAATAAAAAGGGCTGGGGATGTAGCTCAGTGGTAAAGGTCCCCTGGGTCCAATCCCCAGTTTAAAAAAAAAAAMAAAAAAAAAAAAAAAAAAACACTTCTTAGTAAACATGTGATGACTTTTCCTGGTGATGCATTTGATTCAGTGGCCATAGAGCATTGACACCACAAGAGTTCTTCAAGCAAGCATTTATTTTGTTTTTACCCTGGATTGGCTGTGGGTCTGTGTATGTGCATTTGACAGCAGAGGAGTGGTATTTTCCTCATGAAGATCAACTATTCCACTGGTTAACATTCCTTAGGAATTTGGAAAGGAAAAAGCAGTACGAAACATTTTCAATGCATTGTCACAAAGCATTTTTGTTGTTGATGATGAAAAATATCTGATGTGGTATCAGAGTTTCAGAAATACTGAATACTCAGTTTCCCATACGCTGAAGTGAGTAAAACAGAGTAAATGAAACATAAATTGTAACCACCTCTACATTGTTGCTCAAAACATGCAGAGGGGTTGAGGGTGTAGCTTAGTGGTAGAGTATTTGCCTACCAGGCATGAGGCCCTGAGTTTGATCGCCAGAACTGCTAATAAATAAATAAACAAATAAATAAAATATGCAGGATCCATAAAATCTGAGTGTTAGGGAGCCTTTACAGGGGGAGAGCCAGTGTGTACATTAGGCCTATCTGACCAGAAAGTCAGGGGAAAAACTGACACCCTGCTAGCTAGAATTTACCCAGCTGTGGATTTCAGTGATTCCTGAAGTGGATGCAGAACCAAGAGTGATGGATGATGGATGAGAGAAGGTATGGGATGAGGCACGCAGTTGAGCCCTGAAGAGCTGGTACTCAAGGCCTTGGACGCATTTGCTTGAAGGAGCTAGCGTATGGCTGTCCATGGGCTAATTTTGGAGAAAGTGGAACAGTAGCATAAGGGGAAAGGAGATGGGAGAAGGTGATGGGCAGGACAAAGTTATGCAAGACATGGGTGCGGAAGAGCTGGGGAACTTTTCAGGAGTGGCAGGGGTGAAATATATTGAGAGTAATAAAAATAAATTTATAAACTTCTTTTGAAAATAAAATCCTTAGTTATATAATCTAATAAAAATGCGAGAAATTTGCTTTGTCACTTGTATCACTTCAAATAATGGTCAATAACTTAGAAAATCAGGAGTTAAATGTTTTCTCTCATGTGGAAGCTAGGGAAAGAAGGTCCGGAGAGGGGATTAGATATCATACAGATAAAGGGAAAAATCAGTGGAGTAGAGGAAGGAGATCAAGAAGGAGGAAGGAAGGATGGGAAAGGGGAGGAAATATAGAATGGACTTAACAAAATCATGTTATTTGTATACATAAATGTAAACTAGAGGGAATTTCACTTTTATGTATATGTAGAAAGTATCAATCAAAAATAAATTAATAAAGGAGCAAAAGGAAGATCAGTAGAGGAGGGAGAATGGGGGTGGGGGAAGGTGAGGAAAAGGTTAGAATTGGGGGGAGGGATTGAGATTAAATTTCTTGTGTATCTGATTTTGTCAAAATGAGCCCAACTACTATATATTATTGTAGTGCTCTAATAAAAAAAAAGATAAATAAATAATGGTAAATACACTGGGCATAGTGGCACATGCCTGTAATCCCAGCTTCTGGCTGAGGCMGGAGGATCACATTTTCGAGTACAGCCTCAGAAACTTAGACCCTGTCTCAAAATAAAATAAAAGAGGACTAGGGGTATAATTCAATGGTAAAGCACCCTTAGGTTAAATCTCTGGTACTGGCTGGGGATGTGGCTCACACGGTAGCGCGCTCGCCTGGCATGCGTGCGGCCCAGGTTCGATCCTCAGCACCACATACAAACACAGATGTTGTGCCTGCCGATAACTAAAAAAAAAAATATTAAAATGTAACTAAAAAATAAAATATTAAAATTCTCTTTCTCTTTTAAAAAAAGAAGGCTGATGAGCCATGTTAAGAAAAAAAAGTCTCTAGTACTGCATGTGCACACACACACACACAAATGATGATAAATAGAGTTTGTATTTGTTTGGTCTATTAGGATCAAGGATGGTTATTGAGCATTTATTTTCTCTGTCATGGCAAATATTACCAAGTGCTAAAAATAGAGGCATCTGTCTATAAATGATTCCTGCAAGCCGGTGCACTAAAATCTGGATGAAATATATATATATATATATATATATATATATATATATATATATATATATATATATATATATATATATGTGTGTGTGTGTGTATGTATATATATATAGTTTGTGTGTGTGTATGTGTGTGTGTGTGTGTGCGCACACACGCTTGAACTCAGGGACTTGTACATGCAAGGTAAGCACTCTACCAACTGAGCTACATCCCCAGTCCTTGAATGGCTATTAATAAAGTGTTGAGGTTTTTTTAAAGACACATTTGAAGTCATATTTTTGAAACTAGTTCTGTCTGTGAGTTCCAGAAGTCTTATTGAAAAGATGAAACTTAACTATATTTTTAAAAATAATACATTGGCAAAATTCAAACACATATGCATAGCAAACTGATTCTCATACTGCCCTGGCATGAATGCTTGTGCCCCCTGCCCCCAGCCCATTCATATATTGAAGCCCAAATCCCAAATCAAGGGTATTAAGAGTGGGCCTTTGGGAGGTGATTATGTCATGGGGACTCTTCCCTCACAAATGGCCTTAGTACCCTTAGTACTTGGATAGCCAGCTAGCTCCTTCTACTATGTGAGGACTCAGCAAGAAGGTAACACTTATTCATCAGAAAAGAAGCCCTCACCAGAAATCCAATCTGCTGGTAACTTAATCTTGAACTTCCCAGCCTCCAGAACTGTAAGCAATAAATTTCTGTTGTTTATAAGCATTTTTGTTGTAACCTTCCAAACCAACTAAGACACACTCCATCCCTATCCATCTAATTCTCACACATCCATCTAATTCTCACACATGCACTTTCATTAGCTACTCTTTATTTGATTTTTCCCCATCAGAAATAACTGTGCCCAGGATACCCATATCATCTGGTCAAGATCAGAGCTACTCCTAGGTGGCCCTACAAATGTATGGGACAAAATGTCCAAATGTCAGAATGTCATAGAAAGTCTAAGGCAACCAGAGAAGTACCTGGTTCCTGCCCATTATACCTCCTGCTCCCCTTCTCTCTCTAGACAATTTTATCCCCTTCTTCCTACCATTGATGGCAGCCTAATGACTGTAACAGAGAAGAGCTATAATTTGTTGCTCATCTTGAGTTCTATGCATCCTATTTCTTTGCCCCTGGTTCTTGGGAACACAGGTGTGCTCTTGTCTTTGTGAGCCTGGGTTCTCCAAGTGAATCCCCCCGCTTCCCACCGCCCTGCATAAAGGAGCCTACTTCTAGCTCCTTCTCACTCCAAATCAGTGAGAATTAACACTTGATCTGTCTTGTATAATTGAGTAGACAAATAGCAAAAAGATATGTTTCCAATTCTTAAGATGTCAAAAAGATATCAAAAAATTAGGCATAAATTGCCTCAATCTCCCCATACCACTTTGAAAGTCAATGTTAAGCTCTAACTGACTACAAAACAATAGCATTGTTTCCTTGGCAGAACCACCAGGGCAGGACAGGCTCTCCCATGCTCCTGTAACTTCACACTTGGATGGTGGCAATTGCTGGCTAGCTGGTCTTGCTCCAAAACATTCTGCATATATCTGTCAGGATAACCTTTCTCAACACCCATAATCACCCACCACCACTGGGTCAAACAGTAGCATTCAGCTGGATGGTTTTTTATTCCAAAAAAAACCTTTATTATCCTCTGTATAGTGGTCACCTACACAAATGGTGACTACTGTGGTGATGGTGATCCAAAGGTGGAAACTCTTCACAAAGAAAAAAAAAGGGGTGTTTTAGTCAGCTTTTCTGCTGCCATGACTAAAAGATCTGACCAGAACAAATTGTAGAGGAGGAAAAGTTTATTTGAGGACTCATGGTTTCAGAGGTCTTAGTCCATAGAAGGCCGGTTCCATTCCTTGGGGCTCAAGGTGAGACTGAACATCATGGCAGAAGAGAGCAGCGGAGGGAAATAGCTCACATCATGGTGATCAGAAGGCAGAGAGAGACTCCACTAGCCAGATACAAATATATACCCAAATCCATGCCCCAAATTCCCACCTCCTCTAGCCACACCCTACCACTTCAGTTACCACTCAGTTAATTCCTATTAGGGGATTAAATCACTGATTTTGTTAAGACTCTTACAACCCATTCATTTCTCCTCTGAACCTTCTTGCATTGTCTCTCATGTGAGCTTTTGGGGGACACCTCACATCCAAACCATAACACATGGGTTATTTTCTATCTTTTCTTTATTTTTCTTAAGGAAATCATCCATCCTTGGGGCTGGGGATGTGGCTCAAGAGGTAGCACGCTCGCCTGGTATGCGTGTGGCCCAGGTTCGATCCTCAGCACCACATACCAACAAAGATGTTGTGTCCGCCGAGAACTAAAAAATAAAT